GAAGAAATGACCAATTCCATGCTGCAGCTAATCCTGCTACATTTTTACAGTGAATGTGTTTGTTATATCATATATGCTATTACATTCTAAAATAAATCTGATGATTGAAGAGCTTTAGGACCTTGAATATGAGTTGCTAGTTTTTCTCTTTCTCTTACCATTGCATATTATACGTGCAACTCATTTCTCGTAAAGTGTGTGAGCAACGGTAATTGGTTTAATGCTCAGGTAATTGAAATACACTTAAGCTACTCGATAGAACATTTTTGATTTACGTACACCATACAACTTATGTTTTTTTAAAAACATATTGTAATTACATTAACACGTGTCATTGTTAGATAGCATGTCGCTGGTGATGCGCATACTTTATTGCAATAGGTAAAACCAACATGTGAAAAAAAATACGGAAAACCCCTTCACTACTTTATGTTCATGTGGTGGAAAGTCACTGTTGTATAAAGTGTGTATATAAAATATACAAAAATACGAGCTCTGTAAAAAGATTAAGTCATCCGTTCCGTGAGATTCCTACGTGTGATGCTAACTACGTCAACCCTATCCCTGTACGACTGTCTATAATCAAAGCCATCTGTGTTCGATGTTGTTGAGTGATGTTTCATATGTACAGTACCTCCTCTGTATTGGATAGTATATATAATTCTAGTTCTAGTTTGTTTTTTTCTCTTCAATGTTGGTGGAGGTATTTCAGCTTGAATGAGCCTACATCAAACGCTGTCTGCTGTTTAGTGGTGTTCTTTGCATTGATAGGACTATCACGGTGTGCTGTTTAATGTTTCACGGTGTGTTGATACGAAGATGCTTTGGAGTAATATTAGATGTGTAGTTAGATTGTAGCATAAATCGTGAACAGATTTTTGTTGGGCAAATGAATTTAGTTATGTGCAGAAAATAAATTTGTAACTACTTACCAGATTAGATTTAGTCGTTATAACGTGATACGTTATATGCAAATTATGAGCCGTGTTTGTCGTTATGTGTTTTTCTTTAAGATAGACGCCAGTTTTCTATTTCATCAGCAATGGTGAAGTAAAACAGGGACATAGTTAAGTGGAGAAATTGCTCGTAACATGTTCAAATATACTTGTGTTCATTGTAGAAAAGAGTCCTGTCGGTAATGTTAGTTATAGATGACTGTCAACCTCAGTATTGATTAACAAAATTGTATATAAAGTGTAAGGGTCACGTGCCAGCTTACTCCCAACAACAAAATACCAATGTCGGGGTCAGATTTTTGTGTGTGTATATGTGTGTGTATATGTGTGTGTGTGTGTGTGGGCTTTCTTAATTTTTGAGGTGGAGACCATTTTTCACTAAGATTGTATCATATTTTCCTTTATGAGAAGCTGGCACAGTATAGTAAGGGTGTGTGTGTGTGTGTGTCAATAAGAACAACAACAAAAAAACCTAAAAGTTCCTTTGTCGAGTTTGTTTCCTTCCGCAAACGTTCGCGCTGTCAGCGGCAATCATTTGAGCCATCCAGGTCAACAACAGACAAGGTGATATCTAGAGTATCAAATCAGTACGCTTCAAACATAGAACATAAGGTCCATGGTTTTAACAGACGTATTTGACAACTAATTAATAGCATTGCATGTCCAGCAAAGGCAGAACTAGCACGCAAATATCCACACATGTTAAGGCACACGCTCCCTTCGATCAGGCTACTTGCTTCAAATTCGCAATGTTACCTGTCATATATTTTTGAATGTGATATTTTTGAAGAGAGCGGTGCTTTGGCATGGCTTAGCGACAGTATCGTCCCTACACCACTACCATACACACTGAAAAGTGAGCAAAGTTCTCACAGTACACAGAAACACAATGGAGTTATATAAAAAATAAAAGTAATAGATATCTAACAAACCGTCTTTTGTACACTATTTCCAACGGCAACGACACCCGCTTTCTTTCAAAGTCATTGTATTTGTCTATAGGATCTAACGTATTGAAATCAATTGAACAAGCGGAAAGAAAGGTGAACAGTAATAGGCGCTTATCATTGTAGAGTGTCCAATACATTATAAAATGGTGCTCATTTTCAATCATGTTTGGACAAAATGGACAGAACCTTTGGTCATTTGGTACTGGTATTTTCTTGTATCGACCCATTTCTATGTTAAATTTATGACAACTAATTCTTAATTTTGTGATCGCTTTTCGGATATCTAGATAGTGTATATTTGAGAGGTATTGTTTTCATTATATTACCAGGGGGATGAAATTCGAAGT